GATCGCATCTCCTTACGATGCTCCACTGCCTTGTGGGTTAGACCTTTAGGTCAAAGGCTCGGGGTGTGGCCCCCTAAGATAACCACCTGCTTTGGTCTGGGCACCCGGGCAGTAACGCAGCCCACACTCAATTAATGAACTGAAATTGTGTGGCGCATATATGTTTGGCGCACTCCTGTACCAATATATATGTGTTCAAATAAATAAATAAATAAGTTGGTTATTCTAATTGTTAGCTCTTGTTTAAAGTGTTTTAAAAAACGAATGTCAACTAGCTATCTACTTAAATAGATGATCCGATTGATATGCATTTAACTATTAAGTATATAATGAATTTGATTTGTACTGTGAATAGATCTCTTCTATGTTGGTTACGTAGAGACGCACACCTAATTTGATCTTCGATCAATTGTGTGTGTAAATGTAGACTATACTGATTGAGTTTGTTTTATTGTGTCAAACTAACATTCACTCAACGTGAACTTTACTTTGATTAACATAATGATAATTGATAAGGTTTTTGATACTAGGATCTTCGTACGGACTTTTGCGTTATTTAAAGAAGAATAAAGGGATCAATCAGTCTTATGTATTAAAGTTTACCACTTACTTACTTACGCCTGTTACTCCTCGTGAAGGAGCGTAGGCCGATCACCAGCATTCTCCATCCAACCCTGTCCTGGGCAATCCTTTCCAGCTCCTTCTAGTCGTTATTCATCCTTTTCATATCTGATTCCATTTCCCGACGTAATGTGTTCTTTGGCCTTCCTCTTTTCCGCCCCCCTTCAGGATTCCAAGTTAGGGCTTGCCTCATTACAGTTCACTAACTTAACTCAAACTCCTACTGACAGATAATACATCGTTCGTACATTTTTGAGAGCAAAATTAGTGAAGTATTTCAAGGCACATCGTCCTCCAACATTTTTTCTTAATTTTCTCCTCAAATACAAGTTTATTTGTTCTTTATTACAATGGGTTGTTTGTAACGGTATGGGAACAACGGACATTGTGTATCATGTAAAGACAGCTGTTTATAAATGCCTGTACTGGTTTGATAATGGTTGTAATAGTTCTAGAAGTTTCAACCCCATGCGACAAAACTGTATTAACGTTTGTATTAGAGGTTCTGAATTTCGGTGATGATTGACAATCGTTTTGAGTTCTGTAGGTTATTCAGTTGTAGAAACTTCATCCTTGATTTGCCAATCCGTGCCTTCACACCTCTATTAGATGTTGCTTTTCCATCTATAGTACTGTTCAGATATGTGAACGTTTCTACATCTTCCAGAGCTACTCCATCAAGTGTGACAGTGTTGCGGCTCTTTTCGTTGTATTTAGAGATCTTGCATTTTACTTATGTATGTTGAAGCCTATTGATCCATGGGCTTTTGCCACGCAGTTTGACTTCATCTGCACTTGGTGGTGTGTACAGGTCAAAAGTACTAGGTCATCAACGAAGTTAACATAGCCTAGTTGCTCGCAATCTGTCTATTGTATTTCGTTCTTCCACTGAGGTATCGAGTGCTTCATAATCCAGTCGACCACGAGAAGAAAGAGAGAAAGGTAGAGTAGACAGTCCTGTCTGACACCGGCCTTCAGTTGGAACGGTCTGTTATCTATGAATAACTATGTAGCGTAGCTCATCACATGAATTCCGGGTGGTGTTGACGATTTTCTCATTTACACCATCGTGTAGAATACGATTCCATTCGCTGCTTCTAAACACACTGTCAAACGCTTTCTCATAGTTAAGGAAGTTGAGGCATAGTAACGAGTTACTTTCAATTGATTGCTCATCAATGGTCCGCATTGTCGTAATTTCGTTTGCGCACGGCCGATTCTAATAAAATCCAGCCTCTTTATCTCTAAGCTGGGCGGCTACTCAATCTTTCATCCGGTCCAAAAACACGGCTGAAAGCAATTCCTGGTGCTGACAGTAGTGTGATGTCTGTATAGTCATCAAATTTTCTCAGATCTCCTTTCTTTGATGACTTGATGAGTTATCTTTCTTTTCAATTCATCAGCACTTGTTCCTCACCACAAATCTTCTTGAATAGAATGTGAAGAGACTTTTCAGTTACTTCTTTGTGTGACGTCAGTGATTCGAATAGTATGTTGTCTGGTCTAACTGCTTTCCCGCACTTGATTTCTCTGTTGATCATGATGATTTCTTGAACTGTGTGTAATGTGACATCTATAAGAATATCTGTGGGTGCTGCTTCGATATCCGGTATCCTAAAATTCACTACGTGCTCTAAGGTGTTCTTTATTTTGTCTTATATCCGTAATCTGTTTTAATGAATTTATGATACTATTCTTTTTACATGAACCATCCAACTTTAAAAAGTTCATAAACTTCGACTAACAGTGACAATAACTGAATAGTGACACGAAAATCGATGTTATGTTGGTTGATATACCTCCTACGTAATTAAAAATAAAGTTCTGAAGATAAGTAAAAGCTGTGATGTAATTTGTGACACTATCGTGGAGTATGAAAACATCTGTAAAGATGAGAATATGACAAGTCATGCAAGTTGAAATATATTCTATTATTATTATATAGCTTTACAGTGTAGATGATGAGATTGATATGTTTCATTGAAATTGATAGACCCTGAACACAAATAATCATAAACCTAAAGATGTATAATTTTATATTTTAACAGAATGGATTTGATCGACATTCATGTCCTTGAACATTATATTCTCCATAGGAATCATCCTTGATGATTCGGTTAACAAAACTGTGAAATGGTTTATAAGTTTGTCATTGATCATTGGGTGGGAAATAGTTTTCTATTTGTTGATTGATTTTTAAAGCACTCATCCTTATCCAAATATCTATCACATGAAACATGATATGTGTATATAGTCAAGGGAATGAACAATGTTTCTTTTGGCATCAATACACTGTAGAGACTACATTTTGTCATTGAGCTCATCGGAGCAACATGATTATTCCCACTTCGCGGTACTATCACGTATTCGTTCACAATGAACTAAGAGTTTAATAAGTTTTTTAATTATTAACCAAATCACTAATCCCATCAGTCAGTCAGTCAGCCAGCTACAACGTAGGATTAGGCACATATATACATCGATCCAAGTTGCCATACCGCATTTGCACAGCAAGACGTAGTTACTTCAATGGAGGTAATATAGAGAAGAAAGATTGCATGCAAAAGTATAGTACAGGAAGAATGAATTAGCTGGTAGAAAGAAAGATATGAAGTGTTTTTAATCTCTTAGTTTGTTCTGTAAGAAGTTAACTTAACCAAAGTTCAATGAAAAAAGTAACCACTCATAAGTGAAGAAAGACGATTCTACGTAATTGGTGAATTCCGTTATAAATTTGTGTAATTTTATTGAATCATTCTTACTGAAAATCAGAATCATTGCATGTGAGTTTTTCAATTTCTATCGAATGTTATGAATTAGGCATGAGTTTAGATGTGCTGATAAGTCATATTATAAGTAGTAATAACAATGATTTCGTTCGATGTTATATGCTTACTACAATACATAACTCTCAGCACAAATGATTTCAAGGAATTTCTATTACAAACGTAAGGGTGATTTTAATAGATCCCACACAGCGTACTCACTGCCATCAGCACTCTCAACAGTGCAGCTAAATCCTTTCCGAATATCTCCAGAAATAAAATTGGGGGACGGTAGTGAATATTAGATAATATGTAAGAATCGATAAACCATTAATGTAAATGCCGAGTAATGTCAAAACATGTAGCCTCTGTATATAAAAATTCGGATGGACAGCTTTCCTCGGTATCAATGACGCATGAGGAGATGAAGAGAAATTATTGAACAATCTTAACACCACGCTAAGAAAGATTATTTTGATTACGGATCTTCAATAGTACAAACTTCATGGTAATACAACTGGGTGTTTGAGTGTTGTTCGTGTTCCAGCCTAAAGTTATCAATTTGCCATTTGACGGAATTAGGTATGAGACCATTAAAAAGAGACCATCGTTCACGGAGAAAAAAAAAATTAATAATTTCAAAAGGATATGCGAAGATAGAATTCCTTATTCATAATATACACAAAGGAATCATCAGAATACTTAACAAAGTGTTTTTCATAGAAGATGGGATGCCGATCATCCTTCGATTGTATGACATTCACTTTTCAACTGCGCCCAAATAACAACGAATATATAAAAATGAAAGAAATAGCTTAACGTATGAAACAACATACTTACATTAAGTATAATTTGATGATATGAATACGTTGGTCAGTGTTAATTATTTTCAATGAAGTGAGTACGGTAACGTTGATGACGTTAAACCATCGTATGAAGTGAGCAGCTGACGTCAATCTAATGAGATCAATTTTCATTGGTTTTCGATTTTAGTCATTATTCTCCTAAAGATGATGAAGCAAACTAGTCAGATGAAATTCAAATTCTGTCGCTGAATCCATACTTGTTGAAACCCAATGAGTGGGGAAAGAAATAGGCATGTGAATGAATATTTAAGGGTTTATGTAATCCGTGATATTGAATATCTCCATTACTGTATTATGAATTCTTATTTATTTCAGTTTGATTTGGAATTAGTGATTATGGAAGGTGAACATTCAAAGGTGAATTGTTCACAAATCTCCATTGCGGATAGTTAAGCGATGACGACGTTTGCATTTGATGACATGCCAGATGAAACTAGTCAGAATAAATCTCATTGCATGTAAGACATTTTTCATTCCATTTGACTGATTCAGCTTTACTCGGTATACAGAACCAGTTGTTCTCAGTGGTCTCATATTAACGTAAGTAATATATGTTTTAAATACAGGTATTCCTCGAGAATCATAACGACACTTTTTCGTATATTACTATTACGTATCATTCAATGAACTGTTTAGTACACTGTGTTAAAAACACCTGATCCATGTTTGTCAAGAATATTATGATTATGGTGGAGAAAAGTAGTTGATTTCTCTCCCAGTGTAAAGCATTGTCATTTTGTGTTAAGTCAAGTCATAGCGAATGATCATACTGAAATGTTTTATTTCAACACATGAGCATTGGTAAGAGGGGCACAAAATACATTTGCGCAACGCAAGTCACTCGATACATGTGGACACTGCTTTTGCCCAGGTGCCCAGACCGAAGCATGTGCTTTTCTTGGAGAGCTACACCCGGAGCCCTCGATCAAAATGTTTGATCCACAAGGCAATGGAGAAACGTAAGGAGATGCAGCTCCATGAGAGCCGATGACCATTAATTGGTTGACATGCCATTTCTTCCCACAGCATCCTGGTGCCATATGCATCATTGGTTTGTAATCAGTGTTTTCCGACTCCCTCAAGTGAACTCTCCGCATCCACTAGTCAGGTTGAAGCGCTGGACAATCGCTTTTCGTCCCCTCGATTTCACAAACAACACCACAACCATGGGAGGGCAGTGAGTAGGGCTTTACCGGTAGTGGCTATATACACGTGTCCATCTGAGACAATTTCGAGATGAAGACCTATTTCTTGGCAACCTCGGCCGTACCAAGGAATTTGGGGGGTATGAAATGAAATTTTCAAGGGATCACTTATAACGTTTTCCATTTTTCGATCATTTTGACAAGATTCGTATGATTTCAAAAATGTCAAACTGAAACGTTGAGGAACTTTTTCAGCGATTTCATGAACTCAGATTAGGTAGAACATCTGATGCACATCACTATGGTCTATTGTATCTTTGAGTCTAGTATGTTGTTCATTTTGTTCTTTTGTATTTCAGATTGATCGGATTAGTTCTTGGATTAATAATCATATTTATTAAGAAACTACATTCTTCATCCACAATGAACACTATCTTCATCGTTATCACCGTCAGTTGAATATGGCTTACTATTGCATTAATGATATTTTCATCCGACCATCGATCGAATTTATTGTTGATTTGTTTGTTGAATAATGTAAATACTGTCATGTTAGTTTGATAACGGTGATGGAGATAAAAGAATGTTTGAAGGTTCACTTGAACAGATGAGTTTCAACGTTGTGTTTTGAGATGTCAGTATGCATAGATATCCAGTTTCTATAATTTCACTGATTTCATAAAAATTTTGACGTTTATAACTAGATCATTTTAGATCCGGTTGGATTATAGGCTATTACTCAACCGATAAATGATGAGAATAATATAACATTAAAAGGTATCTGTCCGTGTTATGGATAATTCAGAAATATGTAGACGTGGATACACGTGATACCGGTACATTCTACTCTTATCTACGTTTGTTGATATTACTATTTGTAAGATATGGAATGAGTTGTGAACGTAGAACAACTAAACAAGTTGGATTTCTGTCATGTGAATTTCTATAATCATCCACACACTTTGTCTATCACTGAACTTGTATTCAATGATGTACATGTCATCATTTGGTGCCTCAAGTTGCAGTCACCACTAGCTGTCGTGGTTTTTGGTTTACCCAAGTTACTATAACTCACACCGTTTAGGTAATCTACCTCACATAACATGGTCGTGTGTACTGATTGAGCGAATTAGCTTTGAAAATATTTCTAGTTTGTCACTATGAGGGACTTGAATAAGCATTTCTTGCCATTTGCTTGTATCCATAAATATATTCATTTTAACCATTTCAATCGAATGCAGGAGAGTGAAGATTATTCTTTAATTATTTCTCCAGTCGTTGACCGATTCAACTTCTCAACTAATAGTTTTTTCAAACTAATGTTTCCCTATTCAATTGATGATTATGATTTTTGGATTGGCATTATTAATTTCTTGTACTTAGGTTTATGAATTAGTTGTTTATCTGCCTGTTGCCAGCACAGTACCCATATCAGCCATTTTGTTAGTTTCAAATCTACACCAATCGATATCCAGTTCAACGGTACTCTTGTTTTTGGTGTGTGGTCTTTTCACGGTATCTGGATTCATTCTCTTAGTTCAAGAGGAATATTGAAATACGTAAGTTGATTTATCCACAGACATCTATGAAAATATTTTCGTACGTTTCTGTGGCGAGACTATAATTTATAAACGAACAAATCAGATTCACGATAACAGATCTTGGAATTCGGCGCGAAATCCCTCCACCCATTTGGCTGAATAGAGTGGTGAATCTCTAATATATGGACGAGCCAATCAGAAGCGTTTTAGAGATTCCAAGGTTACGGCGCCAACTTTAGTGCCGAATGCTAACGTATGATAAGGTCACAGAGAATTTTGTACAAAACGTGATAATTGAGCGACTATAACAAAATAAGGCGAGACTATAACTTGTGAACGAATCAATCAGTTATAAGATAAAAGATCTCGAATTTTAACGCAAAAGCCATTTATTCATTTGGCTCAATAAATTTCCGGCATCATAGCTAGGGTTAGTTCGTGATGAAAACCCTATATATAATCAATTCTTAGCTAAGGCAAATTATCACAATTATGATGAACTGGATAATAAAAGCACCCGTACCACTGGCTGCAGTCAGGTACTACAATATATACGGGTGATTGAAGAGCGTAGAGAATCCTACATAGGCTTGGTTATTTGCATTGTGTCGTTATCCACAAGTAGCATTTTGTGTGCTCAACAACCGGATTGTACATAAACAATATTGAAGGCATATGGTCGAGGCTGAAAGAGTATTAGAGACTTAATCATGACTCCAGATGCCGAGTGTTCTGTAGCCGTATGGATGCTTGCCTCTACTGCATGCATTAAGGTTTAAAAACCTCCTAACCTCTTTCTAACCATGACAAGTTTTCGAACCACATATAAGAAGTGTATCCACTTTGTTTCTTTGGTTTTATATAATTTATCTTTACTCTAAACTGACTGTTTGCTGATTGGCTATTATTTCTCAAGGTCACTTAAGATTCGCCCCAAGGTCGTCTAGAGATAAGAGTCTTGGCATTAAAACTGTTCTTAATTCGTAATGAAAAATCTAAATCTTATTCCTTACCCTAACCAGATACTGTAAATCGCAATCCTCATTCTTCAAGCTGCCTTAAATCCCTCATTTAGCCCTATTAAGTAGGTAGAAACTTCCAAAATCACTTGAGTTTCGCTCAAAGGTTGACCATAAATTATAGACTTACCGTTTCGGTTTCTTTGTTCTTGGTTGATCCTGACGTTAAATATTGAGTGATCGCCAGCTTGAAGTTAGTAGCCCAGTCACTCGACATGCAAATCATGTGTATTCTTTCCACTGCATATTGCCAGCAACCATAATATCTCGGATCTGTCTTTTTGTAACGTAAGCAACGAAATGTTGTAAACTTTTCAGAAACTCATTTGTATAGGTTTTGTGATTAACAGTCACAATGATGCATTAAAACAAATAATATTAGGAAACTTGTTTAGATATCCAGATGTCAACTACATGTAGCTCAGATGTTCTAGCAGGTTAAAACATCACGGGATAATGCTATCCTTTCAGAGATTGACTTGCGGTGTTATATATTATAACTGTATATAGATAGTAATTACAGCAAAACCAGAACAATTCATTTTCGTGCGACTACTTCGTATTCGTGGAATCGGCAGCTTGGATGTTTCGTGATACAGTTATTAAAGAAACCAATTTGTCGTCTAGAAAACTGTCATGCATGAGACAGCATGGTTACACCGTGTAAAATTTCAGATTTATACTCTTTCTTCACTGATAATTATATAGATTCATAATGAATTGAAGTGAATTGTTTTCTTTTCTTTATTTTAGAATATTTTACTAGGTGATGCCTGGATTTTTTGCTGCTGCGTATTGTTTATTGTAACTTCTGAATAAATAATAAAGTGTGTGTGTGTGTAGTGGCATTGAACAATAGCCACACAATCCACAAAGCTGTAAACACGAGACTACTCAGAAAATAGATATTCAATATTTAACACGGAGAAATACCTAACAATGGAGAAGGCGCGGAGAATGAATTGAATGGACTGGAGTTGATCGAGTTACATGGCTCGGCCATGCAGGCGTGGTCTCTGCTGAATGTTACCTTATATCTTCTATTCATATTAAATATATTGTTCTTTCTCTAGCCTAATCTTGTTCTACATCATGTATTGGCAATTGATACGATACAGTGAGTTGGTGTAGTCGATGGTGTGACTTACACGTAGGATCTTATAGATTAGGCAGTTATATCATGACAAATCTACAAATTTTAGGGTTAGGTCTATTATTAGAGCAGTACTTATATCATAGTAGACCATAATTCTGCATATGCAAATGGCAGTCATTCGATTGTTATGAGTTCATAAACATTGTACTGTAGAAACGAGAACTTTGAAGCATTATTGTTTTCTATTCACAGCATTCTCAAGAATTCGTCATGAAACATTTTGAAGAAAACATTACGAGATGAAAATCTGAATGTCTGAAAAGAGAGAAATTCACTGATGAAGTAAATACCGTTCAATTCGTTTCTTTAGTTGAATGGCTCAAATTATATGATGCTCAATTTATACAGACGATCATCTGTCAATATTTTACTAGCCAAATTACAAGGCACTTAATGTTCATTTGTTATGTATGAATGTAGAGAAACCCTACATTTGTGAATGCTTATTATTTCACTGATACATTTGTTGATATGAATGCATCCATAATGAAGTAATCATCTGCATTTTCATTATTACACGTGATTATATTCACAGAGAATTATCTGAACAGACAACGCGAAGAAGAACATTTTACTACACTGTACATTATTTTCGTGTGGTTTTATGAATATTTCGTGCTTAGCATCAAATCGGAATTTTCTTTAAATACACTCCTCGATTGTGATTGGAAAAGTGGGAAAACTGAATAAGACAGTGATTAGACACGATGAGTAGATCCTATTCCATCGGATGCTTTAATTAGTTCACAGATATTCATGTGAAATATTTTGAAGATTATTGTTATTTACTTTGTTATTTACAATAGATGTTCTGTTAAGTAAGTGTTCCCCGGCTGGATTAAATATCCGTATAGAAATTATTCATTTAGAATGAAAACAAGCACATTTCGATCTTACTTGGGATGAAAATAAACCAAATTGCCTGGAATGATTTTTTCAACTATTGTATTTTCCAATTACACACGTATCGTGACTATGACAAATGACTTACATTTCATTGACTGGTTTTGTTTTTATGACAACGTTTGAGAGGAATTTTTTTGATTGGTCTTCCGGACAACATTATTCACCTTACTTCTATATATAAGTACGCAAAAAAGCTTCTTCTCATCTTAGTTGCACAAAGCGTTTTTTGCACTCTGTATTCACTGTTTGTCGTTGGCCGTAACTGTTGATTTTCCCTCTTTGTCATCTCGACCTGTCCCTGCGGCAATTTTGTTTGATAATAAAAATGATAGCCAGCTTTCTGGAAATCCTCTACCCATTCTTGTACATTTTTATGTAATATCTTAACTTTCACCAAGTCAAACAAGTGCTGAAAACTGTCAACGTCTATTGATTAG